CGGTCCTAGCATGCAGGAAGGCCCAGGTCCGGTCCTAGCATGCAGGAAGGCCCAGGCTCGGTCCTAGCATGCGGGAAGGCCCAGGTCCGGTCCTAGCATGCGGGAAGGCCCAGGTCCGGTCCTAGCATGCGGGAAGGCCCAGGTCCGGTCCTAGCATGCAGGAAGGCCCAGGTCCAGTCCTAGCATGCAGGAAGCTGAGTGTAGTGGCACACACCTATGATCCACACTTAGAAGCTGGACTCTGAGACTCAGGAGTTCAAGATTCTCTTCAGCTACATAACGAAGTGGAGGCCAGGGGTGCATGAGATCCTCTCATGGCTACCAAAAATGTCACTCTCTTCTGGCTTCCACGGGCACTGCATGCATGTTGGACACATACATGTGCACATACAGACAAAACACCCATACACATAAGATTTTTTTTTTCTTTTTTCTTTTTTTGGTTTTTGGAGACAGGGTTTCTCTGTGTTGCCCTGGCTGTCCCGGAACTCACTCTGTAGAGCAGGCTGGCCTCGAACTCAGAGATTCACCTGCCTCTGCTTCCCAAGTGCTGGGATTAAAGGCGTGCGCCATCATTGCCTGGCTCATAATAAATATTTTTAAAAATCTTTTAGATTTTAAAATGTAAAACAGTAGAGCATAGGAACGGTGGGCTGGTGGAAGTGTTAGCCAAGGACAGGTATGGCTAGGGAGGAAGCCTGGCTGGGACGTAGGTGCATCCTACATGGGGCAGGTGCTGAGCCAACAATGAGGCTGAAGGTGGGGGGCAGAACCGGAATGGGAAGCAGGGCCCCTGCCCTGATGTCCTGACCCAGGAGAACTGCCGCAAGGTGACCCGCTCAGTGGAAGACGCTGAAACCAAAACCAATGTCCTGAAGCAGAACTCTGCCTTGCTGGAGGTAAGTGGGTGTGGGTGTGGAGGAGCCCTAAGCTAGCGAGAAGTCTGGGTGGAGCTAGAGAGGGGGTTGGAGGAGCTGGGGAGGGCGTGGACAAGTGTGTAGAGCGTCCAGAGCCTCCAGGAGCTGAGGAGGGTTGGACCTGCTTATGGAGCTTGGAGGTCGGGCTGGAGGGACCCACGGAAGGAGCCAAAAGAGGACTTGGTGGGAGGGACCAGAGTGGAGCCTGGGGAAGCTGAGTTGTGCAAGCGTGGAGCCTGAAGCCCCTGGGTGGGCAGGGTCTAGGATGAAGACCTGCAAGCTTCCTTTCCAACAAAACACTGAGGAGCCGTCCCTAAGCGGCAGGGGCCGATTTTTGACAGGCAGAGCAGGGCAGCGGGTGGTATGCTAGTTGCAGCCTCAGAAACAGCTAGCAGGTTTTAGTAAATGGTATTTCCCCCACCCCACCCCACCCCACGCACGCCAGCAAGCATACTTCCCACTTAACTCTTCCTACACTACTTTGCAGTCTCGGTGATCCCTGGGGTGCAGGTGGCTGAGGATGTCAAGGTGCTGGACACCCTGACTCACTGTCCTCCCCTGTCCAGGAGAAGCTAAGATACCTCCAGCAGCAACTGCAGGATGAGACGCCGCGGAGACAGGAGGCCGAGCTGCAGGAGCTAGAGCAAAAGCTGGAGGCAGGCCTCTCCCGGCACGGCCTGAGCTCTGCCACTCCCAATCAGGGCTGCTCCGGCCCGCCTGGCAGTCCCGAGGAACCCCCGCGGCCGCGGGGCCTGGCCTCCAGTGCCTGGGGCATGGCACCCCGGGCAGGGGAGGGACCTTCGCTGACAGAGCAGGAGTTGCAGAAGGTCTCCACCGGCTTGGAGGAGCTGAGGTGGGCGGGGACTGGAGGAGGTGGGTGGACCAGGCCTCAGGTGGAACGAAGGGCGGGACCTCGGTGGAGCGTGGAGGCTGGGTGGGCGGGGTTTGGACGGGGGTGGGCGGGACAGAGTGGGTCGGAGGGGCTGCGGTAGGCGAGGGAGGACTGGAAAAGCTTGATGTGGGAGGGACTTGGAGGTTGAGGTGGACAGGGCTAGGTGCGTGGGGACAGCAGCGGAACCTGGGGAGAGCAGCGGAACGTGGGTGGCAGCATCAGTGATACAGGGCCAACCCAGAACACAAATGAAAAGGCAAAAGGCGGGGCATAGTGGTGCACACCTTTAATCCCGGCACTGGGAGGCAGAGGCCAGAGGATCTCTGTGAGTTGGAGGCCAGCTTGGTCTACACAGAGAATTCCAGTACAACCAGGACTACATAGAGAGACCCTGTCTCAAAAACAACAAAAAAGCCGGGTGGTGGTACACACCTTTAATCCCAGCACGTGGGAGGCAGAGCAGGCAGATCTCTATGATTGCAAGGCCAGCCTGGTCTACAGAGCGAGTTCCAGGACAGCTAGGACTACACAAAGAAACCTTGTGTCAAAAGAGAGAGAGAGAGAGAGAGAGAGAGAGAGAGAGAGAGAGAGAGAGAGAGAGAGAGAGA